CCAGGTGAGAAGCGCCCTGCGGCCCGCGTCTCCCTCCCCAACACCCCAGGAGCTGGTGTTCGCCCACCCGACGGGCCCTTCCAGACCCCAGCCAGAGCCAGATCAGGGCAGGACAGGAGTGAACCCCGCTTCTGCAGCTCCCCCAAGACTGAGCCCTTGCTGCTTCCGCTCGCCCCTGCCCCTACCCCAGGCCTCCGCACGCACAACTGCTGCCCTTGGGCCTCAGCCCCCAGCCGTCTCCGCCTAGTGCCCCCTCCTCCCAGGCTGGGAGCCCTGGGGCGCGCGCCACACGCTGGTGCTCCCGGGGAGACTCGCGGCGAGCGTGGGGCTTCCTGGGCGAAGGCTCTGAGCCATACTTTACCCCCTGGTCTCGAACTCCCCAGCCTCAACCGTTAGGGCTGCTCGGAAAAAGAACTAGGACCCCCGCATGAGTCCTCGGACATCTGGACCCCCACCTGGGGAGCCGAGCCGCGTGGGGTGCAGGGGAACCCCGGGCTCTAAGCGCGCGCCTGGGGGCACCGCGGGCGACGGCGCCCGGAGCACCTGGGGCTCCGGGGTTGTGCAGGATGCCACCCCCACCCGCCGGTTTCTGGATGCCACGAGAGATCGCCTCGCGGGCCACGGGGCTGTGGCTCCGCCTGTTCCCTGGCACGGGAGTGGAGCGGAGTGGAGGGGAGCGAGCGGCGCAGGTGCGAAGGGTCACATTTCCTGGCCTTCAGGACTTCGGAGAACACTTTCCAACTCCCGGGAGGAAATGCCAAAAAAAAAGGCCCCTCCCCTTCACATTTTTGGTTTGCGGTTGTTTTGTTTCTGCTTTGAGGGTGGGGGACAAAAAGCAAACTTTCTACATAAGAATGTCGCGGCACACACAGCCCGGCAAAGTGTTTCTTCTTCAGGGCGCTTCAGAAAAACCCCCTGTCCTGCTCTCTGCATGGTCAAGGAGCAGAATAATGAAACCAAAGACTTTTATTTTATAAACCACTTGATCTTTGCTTGGGAAACTCTATTAATTGAATGGGTTTGCCTTTTTTGCCAGTCCCCTTTATCATTATTTATGGGCTTTAAATTGTTTAAAGTTCCCTTGACGTTCAATTTACAAGTTTGGGGACTTTTTTTGTTCTGCCTTTTGTCCTGGAGAAAGACATCGTGTTGGAAGTGCTTTGAAAAGCCAAACATGAGAGGTTGGCAATGAAAGGGAAGCGGGCGAGATCCCTTTTAATTCCGTCCTGTTGGTGAATGGCTCTTTTACATAATTGCAGGAGCTATTTCAAAGCCAGCCAAGGGCTGACTTCACTTAGAACCACATGGAGTCTATTTTGGGCTTTCAGATTTAAAAAAAAAAAAAAAAAAAGCTGAATAAAATAGTTTAAAAAGATGAGGCTTCAATGCTTTTTGCTACTTGCAAATTGGTGTGTCTGATGGGGAATTTTACACAAGCACCCCTTTGTAAGTGCGTCTTGGGCTCGAGAGGACTGTTCTGGGTTAGCTGGATGTGAATCCCAATTGCCCTTCCATAAATAAAACCCATCCCAGGTTATTTCCCAACTATTGCCAAGAGCAAGAGCTGCAGCAATGTCCGAATGATCGCGACACTCAAAATCCCTGTAAATAAAAACAACTCGGTTGCCCGAGAAACCAGCCTGTCGCCTGGAACTGGGCGGCTGGCGCGGGTACCAGGCCCGCGAGGCCCGCAGGTTTCCCGAGTCCACCAAGACCAGAGGCGCCCACACCGCCCCCTCTCCACGACCACCCGCGACCTCGACCCTGGCGGCGGCAGCGAAGCGCCGGGTTGGCGGTGTTTTCTCCTCCGGGCTGGGCTTGGCAGGCCAACGCAAGTTTGCTGCATCAATATTCATTTACTCGTGCGTTTCCTCTTTTACACTCAGCCTTCATACACCTGCATACAAACGCTGACTGGGACAGCTCCGAAGCGAGGAGCCAACTTAATTACCATCACTTTACTGAGTGTCTGAGGTTTTAAGTGGCTTAATATGATCCTGACACTAACTTGGCACCTGTCAAGTAAAGTGCCCAGGGGCTGAGCTATCTTCATTCGGGCGGGAGGTTCCCGGGGCGGGAAAAAGTTCTCCAAGTTAACTGGAGTTGGAGGACCCAACTCCACCTTCGGACGCCCCCTCCCTTTTTCCTAATCAGAGGGGGAGGGGTCTCAAAGCAAACTTGCAAAGATCTGTGCCCGGTAGTTTTCCCGCGCAGCCTAGGCCGAGCTGCGTCACGGAGGACGCTGCAGTTTGAGGCAGTTCCGAGCTAAGCAGGTATGAGTCTGGAGGATGGATAAGCCATGTACCTGCCCATAAATCTCCCCAAGGAGCCGAGGAAAAACTCTAAAGGCTTTTATTATCCGCAGTCCCCACGCTCTGAACGCTTTGCAGGTAGCTGAGGTGCCCCGAATGAATCTTGTTAATCACGCCGAAACACAAGGATCCTTTTACTACGCGACCAGTCGTTTTCTAAGCAGTTAAGCATTAGATGAGAAAGTATTAATGCACTGCATTCGAGAAAAAAGCACACTAGTAAATAAAATTCATATTGATGAGAATTATCTGAACTCACTAATAAAAGAAGATTAGTATTATAACCCCTGCAGTCAATACTTTCCACCGCAATTTATGGATGCAAATAATATGCCATCAAATTATTTCAAGTGTAGCTATAATTCAATGGACCTAAATCTTCTTGCTTAACTTTAAATGTTGAATTATCACCAAAATAATCAAAGGAATCCCTGCCTCTCAGAGGGTAATCAGTCCCTAGAACAATATTTTTGCGGCAAAACAGCAAAGTGGACGGCAAACTCGCCTTGGTGAAATGAGTAACAGCTTACACAGGAGTGCCAGCGGCCGGCGGCGAAGGGACCGGCTGCAGGAGCGTAAATCAAGGAAGGAGTCGAGCGGTTTTTTTCTTAGTATTCAAAAAAACAAGGTAATGGCACCCCAGACTGTGTTACTGTAACTATCTCGTAATGGGAGGGAGTATTTATGATGCTCATAAAGGAATCAGCCTTTTGTCCTGGTCTTCGATTTCGATTTTTTTTTTCCTTTTCTTTTTCTTCTTTTGTGGGAGTAGAGGAAGGAGGGAAAAAGCTTGAGGACCCCACAGACACCTCCTCCCCCGCGGATGCCAACGGGAATTCACTTCCCTCACACCGCCTGAGCCACCTCGGGGTCTGGGCGTGAAGTGTGCGGAGGCAGTGCAGGCAGCGTCCTAATGAATTCCTTTCAAACCGCCTGCTGCCGGAGCTATCTATTACTGCGGCCTGGAGTGGGGAAACGCGCTCGAGACGTCTTTGTCCGGGTGGTGCTGGAGAGCAGGGAGGAGGCGAGGAGGAGGAGGGGGAGAAGGAGGGGAGAGTGGCTGGCGGAGGGGCCAGAGAGTTTTCTCAGAGTCCCGGGCGCCGAGGACGCACCCTCCCCTCTTCCCTCTAGGGCCCGCTGCGGGGGCAGTGGGTCTCCGGCCAGACTCCAGGCTGAGACCTGGTCGGGGATTAAGACGTCCCCCGGGGGACCTAGGTTAGAGTGAGAGAAAGAGGAAGAACGAGGAAGAAGAGCTCCAAAGAATCGGGTCGATAAATTCATAAAGATCGATTTATCTTTATCTCCCAATTAAATGTGCTTGTAAGTGATACATAACACACGTCCAACACGGGTCAACTCCCCAACCACTAGCTCCTCGGCGTGAGCTGGTTTTTAATGACCGCGGTAACAATGCCCTCTGTCCTCCCGGCCGGGTGCTGTCGGCTGTTCAGGGCCGACATCTAGACCTGGGAAGTGGAAACCCAGGCCCTGGAGGCGCGTGGAAGCCCCGTAGGCGCTGGTGCGCTTTGGATGGTCTGTCCTTGCCAAGACGCGATTCCATTTTTAAAGGGTACACAAGAGCTGAAAGTTTTTGTTTCGACATGCGGGAGGGGTCCGGGGTCCCTAGTTCCCCCCACCCCCATCCCCTTACTCTCAAATTTCGGGGTCTTTACCGTTGTCGAGAACAGGGGCACATCATGAGGGAATCGGCTGCATCCTGCAGTCAGCAAAGGGGAACCCGCGAGCCCTCGAGTCCTCGCGCTGCAAACCGGGCGGCGGCGCCCGGGTGAGCACTCCCTCCGTTCCCAACGTGCTTAATTAGCGCCTATTTACAAAACGCAGCTTTTATTTGAGCAAACATCATAAAGCTTTCATCAGGATAATCTCACGTTATACAATCTGGAGGCACAGCAACTCCCCCTTCCTCCCCGAGGATGGAGCAGATAAAGGACTCTCTTTATTATCATAATTATCGTGGTTGTTATTTTGGTGCGCGCTGGCAAAGTGTGTAAATAGGTGTGATGATTAAGAATGTCATGAAAAATGAGAGACGGGGTCGCTCACGGGAGGGCCCAGCTCGGGATGGGGGAACCACCAGCCTCCCCGCCCCACCGGGAACACAGGGGCGCAGCGAGCAACCGGCGGGATCCCCGCGGCGGGCAGGGGCAGCCAGCTCCCAGCCGTCGCCCTGGGGGCGGGTCTGGAGGAGCAGGACTCTGCCCCCAACTCCGGGAATCCCGCCCGGACCCCCGGCGGAGCTGGAGCACCCAGCGCTAGCGTGAGCCGGGCGGGTCTCTTCCATTGCAAATACTATGAAAGAATAAAACGCCTCCGGCCCAGCCGCGGGGGTGCAAGCCCGGGAAGCTGCCCTTCGAGGTAGCATCCGCAATGCTGCCAGGCCCCGGGGTCTGAGCCTCTGAGGTGACAACTGCCCCTCTGAACTTGGCGCGGCGCGAGCCCGGCGCTCCGGCTCCGGCTCCCCGGCCCGCGCGCTCCGGCGGTGGCGCCCGCAGCCCGCTAGCGGCCAGCTCGGGTGGAGGGGCGGAGCTCCGCTTTCGCCCCGCCCCCTCCCGGCGCAGCCAATGGGCAGCGGCGCCCAGCCCCACGTGAGGCGAGCCCGGCCGGGCAGCAGGCAAAATGTGAATGAGAAAGAGGAGCGCGATTTAAAGGTGCTGGCGGCGCCCGCCGGAGACAAGTGCGCCGGCTTCGCGCGCTCCCCAGCGGCCTGCGGTGGGCAACGGACGGCGGGACAGACAAACGGACTCACGGACCTCTGCTAGCCGGGGCCGAGGCCCGCAGACGCGACGCGCGCGGGCTCCGACGGGCAGGCGGCGGGCGACGGCTCCAGCGAGCCCGCGGGGCCCGGGCGCCCTCTCCATTCCGGGGCGCACAGCCTCTCCTCGCGCGGCGCCCGCACCCGCGCCCGCCAGGCATGCAGCGGGCCCAGGACTGAGGGGCGGCGGCGCGTGCTCTCCGGGTCCCGCGTTCCTGGAGGTGCTCCCGGCGTCCGGCGGGCTTCCCGGCGGCGGCGCGGGGACTTTTCGCCTCTCGCTGGCCTCTCCCGAGCGCGTCTATGAGCGCAGCGTTCCCGCCGTCGCTGATGATGATGCAGCGCCCGCTGGGGAGTAGCACCGCCTTCAGCATAGACTCGCTGATCGGCAGCCCGCCGCAGCCGAGCCCCGGCCATTTCGTCTACACCGGCTACCCCATGTTCATGCCCTACCGGCCGGTGGTGCTGCCGCCGCCGCCGCCGCCGCCGCCCGCGCTGCCTCAGGCCGCGCTGCAGCCCGCGCTGCCGCCCGCGCACCCACACCACCAGATCCCCAGCCTGCCCACTGGCTTCTGCTCCAGCCTGGCGCAGGGCATGGCGCTCACCTCTACGCTCATGGCTACGCTGCCCAGCGGCTTCTCCGCGTCGCCCCAGCACCAGGAGGCGGCCGCCGCCCGCAAGTTCGCGCCGCAGCCGCTGCCCGGCGGCGGCAACTTCGACAAGGCGGAGGCGCTGCAAGCTGACGCCGAGGATGGCAAAGCCTTCCTGGCCAAGGAGGGCTCGCTGCTCGCCTTCTCCGCGGCCGAGGCGGTGCAGGCGTCGCTTGGTGAGTCGGCGGCGCGCGCAGCCCGGACGCGGGGCGGGAGGGGTCGGGGGCGGGCCAGCTCCGGGTTCCCGCGGGAGCCTAGGGTGCGAGGCCGCGCCCCCGCCAGCGCAGCCGGAGGACGCGGCCCGGCTGCGCCGCGAGGCCTCCGGGGGCATTTAGAGCCACGCAACAAGCGGGGTCTCCGGGGGAGCATTTAGCGCCCCCGGAACAGCTGCTGCTCGGGACGGCCTATCAGTGTGGCAGTGCGTTTGGCGGAGTCCACCTCTCCCCCTGAGCTGTGACCTGGGCTGTCCCGGTTAAGTTGCAGCCTTCAGGGCAGGCGGGTTGGGCTGCGCCCAGGAGCGCCCAGACTTACTAAACCCCTTCACCACTGGGCTTGCAGCTTGCCCGGGAGAACTGGATTCCTGGGAGGCGGTGTGTCTGCCTGTGTGTTGGAGTATCTGGTGGTATCTTACAAGGCTACGGAACACTCCCCCCGACACTTTGACTAACTATCTGCCTTAAAAAAAAGATGCGCTCTGGCATCTGCTTGTCCCAAAGCCCCCACTCCTGCTGCGATGAAATTTAGATGCACTAAATTTTCACTGTGGGAGGGCAGGATGTGTCGAGAACCCCCATCCCCGTCCTCACCCAGCCTTCTCCTCGGGGATAAAGGGGATGCTATCTTGGGCCTCACGCCTCCTGCTACTTCCCCTTAAGCTCCTGAGGCAGGGAGGGTGCGGAGGAGGCCTGGCGGCCCCTTGAGTGATGGTTCTGGGCAAAGGGCCGTCGCCTGAGCTGCCTCCTCTCCTTTGAGCTTTCTCACGCTCTCCCCACCCCGCCTCTGCTCCTCAAAGGCCAGGAAATCACAATGTGTTAATGTCATAGAAAGACAATCCGCCAAGGGGGGCGTGGGGGGTGGAATGCCCAAGCGACGGTGGGAAGAGTAAAGGAAGGCCAGTGTGCGAAATGTAATAAAACGCCGTTTGGTTTTGCTTTCAGTCGGGGCTGTCCGAGGGCAAGGGAAAGACGAGTCAAAGGTGGAAGACGACCCGAAAGGCAAGGAGGAGAGCTTCTCGCTGGAGAGCGATGTGGACTACAGCTCGGATGACAATCTGACTGGGCAGGCGGCTCACAAGGAGGAAGACCCCGGCCACGTGCTGGAGGAGACCCCGCCAAGCGGCAGCGCCGCGGGCAGCACCACGTCCACGGGCAAGAACCGGCGGCGGCGGACTGCCTTCACCAGCGAGCAGCTACTGGAGCTGGAGAAGGAGTTCCACTGCAAAAAGTACCTCTCCCTGACCGAGCGCTCGCAGATCGCCCACGCCCTCAAACTCAGCGAGGTGCAAGTGAAAATCTGGTTCCAGAACCGACGGGCCAAGTGGAAACGGGTGAAGGCGGGCAATGCCAATTCCAAGACAGGGGAGCCCTCCCGGAACCCTAAGATCGTCGTCCCCATCCCCGTGCACGTCAGCAGGTTCGCTATTAGAAGTCAGCATCAGCAGCTGGAGCAGGCCCGACCCTGAGGGCCCAGGGAAGGCCCAGGCTGGCACCTACCTGCCAAAGCCCCAGTACCCGAGGGAACCCGTGGTGAACTCTACTGTGTTTGAAGCAAAACTCAAAGTCACACCCCTACTGTGGACATCCTAAGAAAATTGAGAATATATTCATTAAACAGGCTTAAAAGACTGCTTTTGAAGGGGCTACAGCCACACCGGAAACACACTAAATATTTATTGTACTATCCTACTTTGTACATAGATATCTATATAGACTGGATATCGGCTGCAGTATTTTGAAAGTTATAGGACCAAATTACCCAGTGATATTCTCCACTCACATTCCAGAAGAAAACAAAACGTCTGCTGTAATCTGCCGCGTTAGCAGCCACCTTTCCATACTTTTCCAAAGGTAAACATAAAACACAAGAACAAACACTGGGGTTTAAACTTATTTTTGTTTCTATTCTGGCTTTTTGAGTTGACTGAAAAGCAGACACTGTTGGGCAACCTGGAAATTTGCTTTGCTTTGCTTTGGTTTTGCCTGGCTTTTTCCCCTGGGGTTGCGTATCCTATCTGAGCCATGTCTGAAGCACGTCTCTGTTGTGTTTAATTTATTTCAATGTAGCTTATTTTCTTATAAGTTATGACATTTAAACAATTTCGGTCTTGTGAATAATAAAAAGAGAGGGGGAAAAAGAAGAGACCAATCCTTGGGCCTCATAAGTGTGTCCAGAACTTGATCGTCCTGGGGGCACTGCCAGGGTGTGGTGGGCAACTGTTCTGAGACCAGTGCTGGATAAACATCCCCTGGCCAGGTCTCCAGGCTGGCTGGACTTGGGCCACACAGCACCTTACCAGGTTTTGAATTGGAGGGCAAGATCTCCAGTAGGGTTATGAATTTAAGAAAACCTAATTTTCACCTTAGAAATCTAACATGTCCCCCTTTTGCACAGCCGAATCAATACCTACTAGGCTGGCAAACTTCGGCGGGAGGAGGCGGCGTGTGCCCAGAGGAGGGAACGCGCGTGCGGGTATTGGTGGGTTTGCACAAACTCCTGGTGCTCGAAATCGACTACAGGCAGGGAGGGAACGCCTTTCCTTGTAACATGCCTGACCCGAAAAGAAGCGGAGCTCGTTCGCCGGCAGAGCCGAGGGTCCATAAATCAGGCTGCAGGCGTTATCTTCCGACAGGGACAGAAACCCAGCAAGCCCAGCCAGGCTTCCCGGGAGCACTCGGCTCGGAGGCGGACGCGAGCGGGAGCGCCAACAAGCCCGGCACCTCCCCCTCCGGGCGGGGTCGGAGGGAGGCGGGACCCGACCACCGCCCCACCCCAAGGGCGCCGGGACAGTTTGCACCACAAAGGGGCAAGGGGCGAGGGCGAGGGCGAATTGAGGGTCGGTCCGCAGGGTCCTGAGAACTGGGCGCCTCGGCGCGCGGGAGGGGCGTGCCCGGATCCCCAAGCCCGCTCCTGCCACACCCCGGTGCGCCCCCAGCCTCGCCGCTGCTTTCCCGCCCCCGAAGCCCCTGCCCAACGCTAGCGACCCGGCCCGCCGGAGGCGGCGGTGGACAGGCCCGGGGTCCCCTGGGCGTAGAGCCGGCGAACGAGGGTGATCGTGGTGCCATAGCCCTGGCGGCCACCAAACCAGCAGCCTGAAGAGCGAGAGAAGCCGGGGGCTTCCGAGTGAAGGGAGACGAGGCCGGGGAGCAGGCTGCGAAGCAGTCGCGTCGGCCCTCGGCGCGGTTCTCAGCCCAATAAGGGGAAACGCGTCGCCATGGGGCGATACTAATATTGACTTAATTTTTTACCACCCGCAGCCCGTCACCTCCCTGCAGCAGAGGGGCCTGGGGACTGAGACCTTCGCCCAAACTTGAGACGCAGGGTGAAGGCTGGGAGCGACCAAGTCACCCTTTCCCGCCGCGTTCCCAACATTTCCGGTGGCGGAAAATGGCCCAGGCTTGGTTTTCAAACACAATAAAACGGAGCGGCCGCTCCTCCGAAGGCCCCAGCAGGCTCTGCGGGACGCGGAGAGCTGCAGCAGCTCGGTGCGGTCCCCGACCCGGCGCCCTGAAGCCCGGGAGAGAACCGGATTGCGCCCTGCCCCGGCGCCTGGTCCGCAAGGCCCGGCCGCTTCTCCGATCCCGCCCTCCAGCGCGCGCAGGCACTGGTCTCGGTGGGCGCCGTCTGCTCCGGGCAGGTCCCCACTGGCCACACCCCGAGGCCTGGGCATTCGAGCCCCTCGGGGACGCCGTTCTCCCACTGCCCCCTACACCGAGCCAGTGTGCCCCCCGAGCCGCATGTGCGCCCCGGCTGGAAGTGTGGCCGGTGGCGCAGAGTTGGGCCAGAGAACATAGGAAGCTGTGGCCTCCTGCCCCGTCCTTAGCATTGAGAGCCGGGCACTCCCGCAGATCCTGGAGTGGCCCCCCTATGCCTTTCCCCCTTATTGGTTTTACCCCTACGCGTCTTCTCCAAAAGCCGTGGCAGGGATGAGGGGCACAGAGGGACCCGAAGCCTTGGCTACACAAACCCCGCGGGGAAGCGAAGCTCCCTGGAATGGGAGGCCGCCTTCAGGGAGCCTCACTCCCTGATCGAGCTCCCGGGCTCTCTGCAGCCCCGCGGTCCTTGCCCTTGGGAAGCACGAGGAGAGAGGACCAGGGCTCCCCAGCCTGGCGGACGGGGCGCCACCGCCGGCCCTCCTGCCCTCTGGGGGCGCTGACCCCCTTCCTCCCCAGCCCCCGAGCGCCCGGGCGCCCTGAGAGCCCGGCGGGGAGGCCGAGGCCCGGGAGACAGGCCGAGGGGAGGAAGATAAACAAGCGGCGCTTGATGGCCGCTGTCATCATGGCCGTCATCATGGCTTTCATTTGGCTGCCTAATGAGTCACATCACAGGCAGAGAGAAAAATTGTCAATCGCCCGGGCCCTAATGAATTTTTTTGCAAATTGTAATCAAGCCAGGCCGTCTCAGCTGGCTGATTAATGAGACCCACGAGGCTCGGCCAGCACCTCAGCTTTTTATTCCATCCCATCCTCCCTGCACTAAATTAACAGCAACTTGTCTGAGCTTCAAATTAACTCCCAATGATTAATTCTGATGGGGGGGCCTGAAGAATAGCTTGTTCTAATAGGCTCTGGCCTGAGATGCTGTTGGAAATTAATACACTTCCCCTTTGGCTGCCGGCTTTAATCCAAGGTTGGGTTTTGACATCACTATATTTGTTGTTACAATAAATTCCACTTACATCTGCAGATCAAATAATTACGCTTGGGAGCACCTCGGACCTGTGCCCCTAGCCATTTGCTGGGACGCCTCAGGGCTGCCTGTACCCCACATTCACCAACCAAAGCAGAGGTCCACAGGAACAGCCACCTGACCCAGAGACACCACCCCCCGCCCCTCACTCCCCAGAAAGCCAGGTGCCTGCCCACCCCTTTGGAGAATTGAGGGTCCTTTGAAAATCCAGTCAACTCCATGTTCTTGGGCCAGGGCCCCCTTTAGCTTGGTCCTGGGCCTCAAGCAATCTCCTCTTCCAGCTCCTTGCAGAGGCTGGGGGTACCCTTGGAGCAGCCCGGACCACCTGCACTGGGGCCTTCTCCAACCACAACCTGCACTGGAATTTTTGAGACTTGGTGCATGCTTGCAAACCCAACCTTCGCCTCCCAGTCTTCAGCCCCCAGGGTGGTTCTTTTGCAGGCACTTTTTCAGCTAAATGTGGGAGGGGGAAGGGGGTACCTCTAGACCTTTCGAGCCTTGGTTTGCCTTGCAGGCCCATCCCGACGCTGTGGCTCTCTGCTGCATACCTGATGCAAGTACCTGCATTCCAGGGCACCCTTTCTCTTGGGATAAGCGCCCACCCAGTCTTGTTTCTGTTTGTTTGAGCTTAATTGGCTTAATCATTTCAGCTGCTTCTGGCAAGCCTCTCACAGGGGTTCTAAGTCTGCTCCCTGAGCCTGTCCCAGGCAGAGCTGCATGCTGTCCCCTTTGGCAGGGGCTTCTGGATGCCCTGAAAGCCTGGAGGGACATTCTGGCTCCCCAGTCACAGATCCGGTCACCAACTAGTTCTCGCCTCAGGGCCTTCCTAGCTCCCTGGGGCCGTTCAAAGTGACTGGAGCCCAGGGGGTCGGCAGCCCTGGCAGCAAAGCTATCCTCAGTGGCCTCCCCTTTTGCCTGCTGCACTTGGGCTACAGCAGAGTGGCCCACCTGCACCCAGCCACAGCCTCCCCAGGAAGGAAACTCCAGTGTACACACACCTATTTCTGTCCCTGGAGACCCTAGACTTTCCCCAGCCTTGGGCACACAGCCAGAGCAGGTGGCCTGCTCCAACCTTCTCACGCACTGGGGCTACCCAGACGGCTCCAGGATAGCACCGCCTCCTTGGGCCAGCAGGAGCCAACTCTGGGGTTTTAGGGGGAGCATCCGCCTGGGGTCCACAGGGACCGGCTGGAGAAAGGAAGGTGGCATTATTCTTCATTTCAGGCCCTCATGGTGTAAACAGAAGAAATATGATCTTGCTAACCCAACACGAATGCAAATCATACCGTCAGAGTAATAAAGCACCTGAAACCCCGACGCACAAAAGCAACACCATATGTATGAAGACAACCTGCATAAATTATAAATTACATCATAAAAATTGATTGTCTATTTGAACAGTTCAGAAGTGGGGACCTAAGCTGACTTTCGCCCTCCTTGGCTTTGAGAAAAGGTCAGGCAGTGCATTCGCCTCCACAGGTCGCGGATTGCAGTCACCAGGTCCAGAGTCTCCCGTCCACGCCGCAGTGGGGCCTGGTTGGTGCCCGGCCGGAGGCAGAGGGCGCACTTAGAGCCGCAGCACACTGCTGGCTCCGCAGTCGGTAGGAGTGCGAGGGGAGGCCCACCTTGGACGCGGTGCGAGGACACAGGCTTGTTGGGCTAGGGCGCCAATGTCGCCGGGGCGCTCGGCCCAGCTCTCACACCCAGAGAGGCCGCCTCTTGACCCGGGCCCCTGGGGAGGTCCTGGTACTGCTGCCGCGGAAGCCGCTCCGATTTTCTAGCCTGGACTCAAAGGTCCCTGTAAGCGCCTCGCTTCCCTGGGGTTGGCCCAGTGATGTGCAGGGGTGTGAGTGCGCGTGCGCGCGGGTGCGATCCAGCTAGTGCCTGCGCGCGCGTGGGCACGTGTTGCTGGTGCCTGTGGCTGTGCGATTCCCTCACGTCTAACCCCGCTTTGCCGGGTTTCGTCGCGTTGCTGCATCCCTACAGCCCACAGTTCCACCCACTGGAGGAGCGAAAACGCATCCTGAGGCACCCAGTGAACTTGAGCCCCCGCTGTGCACCCGAGTCTGCTCCTCCGGACCCCCCACTCGCAGTGTATCCCTGCTACTGCGGGGAGCCCGCCCCCATTCTTTCCCCACTGCGTAGGGGCCCCAGTCTGGTCTCTGGCCCCCGCACCTCTCCTGCAGTCCATGCTCCCACCACACTGAGCTCTCCCCGGCACCTCCAACCTCCGCGGCACGGAGCACCCCACTCTCTGGTCTCCAGGATGACCCCGCCTGCAGCCCACGTTGTGCCCCTCACCTTTGAGCTCTGCCTGAGTTTGGCCTCTGGGCTGCTCCGGCTCCCCAGTCTCCGCAGCCCACCATCAACACCCCGGCCTTCGCCTCGAGGCTGCCCCACACCCACGCGCGTCCATGACTCCTAGTCTCCCCCCAAGTCCGCCCCCTTCG